TGACACTGTTGACAGCATTACGTAAACACCCAGGCAAGTGCCGGAAAAGCCCAAACGGGAGGGTGGAAGGTGAGGGTCGTAGCGGCTGGGGACCGCCTGACGACAAGTGAGAAGCACAGGATCTGGGTAAACTGGCGGGTGTAAGCAGCAGGGGCAAGGCCTTAAAAGTTGCCTTCGTTGATGGCTCTGAAATGCCCAACATTCTTTACCGTATAGAGAGTAAAGTTAAGGTTTAAACAGAATTAACTCCGGGAAAGTAACTCCTTGACTTAAATTCACAGTGAGGACAAAATCACTGGCCACAGGTTCTTCCCAAGAGGGTTTTCTAGGGAAAAGGTGCTGGGTGGTTGAGGGAGGCTGGGTCCCACGTCCTGGAGGCGGAACCCAGGCAGAGGCTGGAGGGGCGGCTCCCAGCTGGGGTGGACTCCTGTGACAGCCAAACCTGGGTTAGCCCCCAACCAGAGGCAGAAAACCCAGTGTGTCCGTGAACAGGAGCTCTGGCTACACATCATAGCCATCATGTCAACCTCGTTCCTGTCGACCCCGTAAGAGGAGCCCCAATTTAGGCCACTGAACCTAAGTGGTGGGGAGACATTGTGCATACCAAGACTGGTTCATGCCCAAAGACTTGGAGTCCACGGTGGAAGACTAGAGGTGTAGTCGGTCACTGGCATGCGTGAATTAACATTCAAGGTTCACGTTCTTCTTTGGTGGTTCCAGTCCTTTCATTTACTAATTAGCTGAGGCACAAACCTACTCACTCACCCTACCAGCTGCTTTGCAGGGGTGAGTCACTTAGCTGCGTGTAAGCCTCACCGACCCCACAGATTCTGCCCAGTGCAAAGCTTCGCTGCTATCAACTTATCCAGCATATACTTTATTGCACTCCGTGAGGTAAGTACATAGCCCGGTGATGATACAATATCTGGGAGTGGTACGTTCCAGGCCTCAGGATAGAGTCATGAATGTCCAGAGATGGCACAGGGAGGGAGCCAGGCCTTTACTTCTCTGTGGACCCTCGGGGCACAGGGGCCCAAGCCATATGCCAGCCACACTGCGGAGGTGGGAAGACAGCCTTGGGACCCGAGCGAGGATGGGCAGGAGTGTTGGGAAATGGCCCACGGCTCCATCAGTCTCAGGACGTCTCCTCCCCTACAGAGCTGCTCCCTGCAAGGACCACTTCACTGCTAATAGGCTGAACTGTGTTCTGACACTTCACTGTATTAAAAGTGAGTCACTGCTGATGTTGATAACGTTAACTACAAAGATGAGAACTTCGAAATGGATGGAGGAAGAAAGCTCTGACAGTTCCTGAAGTCAAAAACCCACACGTACTTGGGCTCCAAGTATGGGTGGTTCTGCCTCCTCAACATCTCTGTGATCTATTTTTTACAATGGTCACATTTATATCATCTCTCTCCTGACCTATTACAATCCTCTTCCTCTACATTCATCTCTCTCAAATCCACGTTCATCCTATTGCCAGTATTATTTCCAAAGCGAAAACCTAACAGTATTATTACCCTGTTTAAAACTCTTTAATAACCCAAGGGGATCACAATTAAATTATGTTTACTCATCTGTCTTCTCTTCTGTAAACCATGGGCTCTCTAAAGGTAGGAACATAAATTTAAAATCCATCCTTGAATCCAGAAAAGTGCTCAGTAAAAACCTGATGAAAGACTGTTTTGTGTCACCATCTGCAGAGGTCTGTACTCATCTCCTCCACTGGCAACATTCCAAAAGATAAGGCCAGGGGCTCCTCAACCTGGCTGACTATGCCCTGTTGAACTCCAGTGTCAAAGCGGTTTGTGATCCTGCAAGGACCCAGTGACACAGGGTTGCTGATGTACAGGGACTCAGGCCACGGCATGAGAACAGACTGAAAGATTTCTTCTTGTTCTTGGTGACAGTAAAGACTGCAGCAATCTAAAGGTCTATGGTGGGTTTTTTTTTTCACTCCCAGTGTGAACAGAATGCCTAGAACTATTCCTTCTTCAAAACATGTAATAGGCACACCATTTACTGTTTACCTACTACAACCATGAATCTAATACTTGCTTGATATGTACTTCTATGTCTTGGCAACCTCCCAGGGCTCTGTGGAAACCCACTGGAAGGGGTAAGGCTTATTTTTTTTAAAAAAATACAATGTTCCTTCCACTGGGTCATTATTTCCTATCTGTTAGCAATGAGAACAGAGGTGTCTTTTTTTTCCCCACATAAGTGTTGTATCAGTTTGCACAGGTTTATAAAAAATGTTCAAAGAGATACCAAGAACATTATTTTGAGGATCCTGATTGCTTTAGGACATGGCATCGCACTCCCAGTATAAATTTTTACCTTGACTGATACAGAAGGATATAGTACCTTTTAATCTTTGGAGGGACTAACATTAAGGATGGAAGACAAAGAGAGAGCACCTATTAGAAGACTTGAACTAACACAGTGGTGCACATTTTGATGTTGAATTCTCATTTAATTTCCCATGGGGCAATTAGATGTAATGAAAAATCCTCTCGGGGCCAGTTTATTTCTAACTGTTCATCTGCCCCAGCAAGAAAAACCCTGCCCCAGGATTCAAGTGCCAACCTTCCCTAGGCACACAGACCTGTCATCCTTTACCATCTCGTGGGAGACTCTACTCCAGGTCATACCTTCCAGATCCCTTATTCCGTGGTATCACCTCTTTCCCTGGCCAAACCGAATTCAAATGAATGGCTGGTAAAACTACAGTAGTGTTTTGTTTTGTTTTAAATCCTTACCTATATTTTCATTCTGCCTTATACAATGGGAGAGAACATAAAAAAAAAAAAAATTTGGCTACCATTCAGAACTGGCAGAGAAAGAACCGCATGGCCCCTGAATGCCATCTGAGATTCAAGCTGTGTTATGTCACGTGATCACTTTGGCAGAAGTCACCAGATAAATGCCAGAACTGGTAAACACACTCACATGTGTGCATGCTCATGTTCAAACATGTTCATCTACAGCTTCTTTTTTAAGATTTTATTTATTTATTTGACAGAGAGAGAGAGAGGGAGAGAGAGAGAGAGCACAAGGGGGGGGGGCGCGTGGGGGCGGGAGAGGGAGAAGCGGGCTCCCTGCTGAGTAGGGAGCCCGATGCGGGGCCCAATGCCAGGACCCTGGGATCATGACCTGAGCCGAAGGCAGACGCTTAACTGAGGCACCCAGGTGTCTCTCATCTACACCTTCTATGGAAACATCATACTCATCCTTAACAACAGCAGGCATTTTAAGGTAGACCTCTGGAGTAGCCACATAATTCAAAACAATTTGGGTTAGCCCACTAACTTAAAAAAAAAAAAAGGAGGAGAAAGAAATGTTTTCCTTTGCTAAATTACTTATTATGTGTAAGTACTGGTAGGCTGCAGGATTTGTTTGCCGTAGGCCATTGCATTTTCTTATCTCTGCTACCCCCAAACAGACCAAGCAAACAAAAAACTATCAAAAAGCAAAACAGAAAGCAAACAGAAAACCAGTTAATGGTGTTGTTTTCTCCACTCTCCTTATGGAGTTAAAGGTTTATGTCAAAGCTAAAATGTCAAAGCAGCTGAAATAGATGCTCTTTGCAGACTCTAGGTCTAAATGTAACTTGAGCTCTCGCCTTTAGCTGGGGACACATTTTTAATTTTCTTTAAAGATTTCCTTTGCCATACTTTTCATTTCACAGGTTTTTTAAATTCCTCAAGCCTTGCCCAGTGGAGTGAAAGCCACCTTAATGAAAAAAGTAGAGATTAAACCACCATGACTTTGGAACAGCCGAGGATCTCAGCTGTAATTCTTTGGCTCAGAACCAGGGTCTAAAACCAGCCATGGGAAAAGCTGCTGAAATGGAGCCTGCAATTCTCTCCATGTTTGACTTGCATAATGTTGACATTATAACACCAGAAAGACCCAAAAATATTTCAAACAATTATGACTTCTTTTCTAGAAATACTTTTAAATTGCTTTAAAAGATAAAATAACCTATTTTACCCACCCACCCCCTTTTTTTTTTACTCTGGTCGCCCTCAGCCGCTCACTACTACAGATTTATTTTTGGCTCAAAGGTCAGGGAGGACATCTTAAGGCACTACCTCTGCTGTTAAACTGTGTTTTCCAACATGAGTTGCCCAGGGAGTAGGGGAATCAGCTACTCTTAAAGCAACAACTGAATGTGGGGTCACAGCATGGGAGAAATAGATAGTTTATTTCTTATGTTGATGCCTGAGCAAGGAAAAAAATCAAATACTCAATCTTTTAAAGACAATCTTTTAAAAAGTCTCCCACCCCTTTATAAGCACAGTTTCCTTTTTTGGACAGAAAAATCCTTCTTCTCATTCTCTTCCATTACTCTTTCTTGTTCCAGTTATTTCTGCCATGAGACATACGTTTGAATGTACTGAGACTTCTCCATGACGAAGATGGCATAAAAAAGGAAGGAGAATTATAGAGACGGCCAAGGAACTCATGAGTTCTGAGTACATTATTCAACTATTTTCAGTTGTGTCTTCCTTCAAGCTTTGCCAAACGGTAATCACCCAGAGCGTGAGAGGTGAAATTTATTTGAAACCTGCAATTTCTGCTCTCAGAGAATATGATTCAGAGACCTTAATTCTGAGCTCTGGAAATAGGGGATGATAGCCTTAGTCACGGACGAGCAGAGTGATCAGTAGGTTAATAACCAACCCTCCAGTGCAATTGCAATATCTCTCCCAGGACCAAGAGACCTGGCTTGCCTTCAGTATAAATGCCCTCAGCATGATTTGCAGCATTATTTTTGATGTATAAACATTAGACGCCAAAACTGTATTCCTCCTAAAACATCCACAGAAAGTCCTCCTAGCTTATGATTTTAAAGCTAAGACAAGTTTCCTATTTGCTGTTACTTAAAACTTACCTCTTTGAATTAAATCATCCAAAGAACTTACATTTAACAAATAAAGTTCAGTGTTATTTCAAAACACTGGGGGTGGGAATGGGAAAGCAGAACTCACCTTCACTCCCAGAAACAGCATTGCCTGAGCCTGCCACTGCCAAGGTCAACAGCAGCTGCCAGAGATCCATACCTGTAGGACCTGCAATCACACAAAAAAGAGTAAGATAAAGCCAACTAAAAGCAGACCATTATCATTGCATACTGTTTAAAACCTGGCTAAACCACGAATGAGCTGACATGCGTGTCAGCTCTCAAAGGAGTCCTAGTACATCTTTCATTGCCCCAGAGTCTCGTATTGTTGTACTTTTCATGAGGGCAAACAGTAGGTTTATAATAAATTCTACTTCCCATGGGTGCTTGCCTCAGGAAATAACATGGACACTAGCGATTTTCACACCCTGGCCAACAGCCCTAGAAGCACCTCACCACAAGGTGCTTCAATAATAGGGCCAGGGTGGTTTCACTTTAACTTGATCTGGAAATAGAAAAACTCGTCAGCAGTATCACCAAGCATAGGGCCTTGAGCTGGACAGGCCATAAAAGGAAAAACACAACAACCCACTTGTAATAGGAAGACTTCTCCAGTGTGTTTCCCAGTGAATAAAAGAGTGCAACTAATACTCAGGAGAGTGTACTAATGAGCCATCATGGGGAGGTTTAGCTAGAAGACAGCAGAAAGGAGAAGGTGAGAAGCAAAAGACTACAAAACATCTCTGCTGCCTAGGTAGCCCGCCTTAGGATACCTGGTGTCCTGGGTTTTCTGTTTTAGGAGGAGTGTGGCTCTGAAAGACCAGGGAACATCCCAGACTCAGAGAAAGGTCAGTTCGCAGCCTTGCTAGCTATCTGGGATCTCCAGTGTGGCCACACCTGAATCCCTTCGGTTTGATGAGTAGGGGAGCAGATCATGCCTCAGCCAGCACGTGCCTTTACCTGGAGGAAATAAGCTGCTTTGGAATCAATAATCCAGGGGTCCACTTCTAGGATCTCTGAAGAGACATGTTTGGGCTGGTCTAAATTGAACTCAACACACTGTCCTTTGGAGGCTGTTGCTACATCTAACAACTAAGGCCAACTCCTTTAAAGCTTAGCCATACGATTTCCATAAAATTACATTACTTACACATCACTCAGGCATACCTGATCATCGCCCTGGGCTCTCCTCCAGGGCCTCCCTCCGGCCTCATTTTCACTATTGTATATTCTTCTTCTTTTTTTTTTTTTTTTTTTAAGATTTTATTTATTTATTTGAGACAGAGAGAATGAGAGAGAGAGAGCACATGAGAGGGGGGAGGGTCAGAGGGAGAAGCAGGCTCCCTGCCGAGCAGGGAGCCTGATGCGGGACTCGATCCAGGGACTCCAGGATCATGACCTGAGCCGAAGGCAGTCGCTTAACCAACTGAGCCACCCAGGCGCCCACTATTGTATATTCTTGACGATAATGAAAGAGCCCTTCTCGTTACCCCTAATCAGGCTGAAATGATGAACAAGAACATTTGTTCTCGTGGGTAATGGAATGGATGGTGTGGTCCCCGGTAATGGCCGTGTAATTCTGAATAGGCATCAACTGTGATATTTCATACTTTCATTTCTAGATAGTGGAGGGCCCATCATTTCTTTTTTTGTTCCAAATGATTTTATGTTCTTAAAAAATTCTAACAATACACATCTCTACATCAACTGAGTATCTTCCTGTGTCTGAATACGCACGTGCATGCGGAATGCCTAAAGAGCACCCTCAAACACTGCCCCCTGGAGTCACGGGCAGAACGGAGTGTGACACGGCCCGTGAACGCACTTGGCCAATTATGAGAGTTCACACAAATGTGCGTTACAGTTATCGTAACATCCATGTTTTAAATTCCTGACCTGGAAGGCTCTGAGCTAATGGCCTTGCATCAGCCTCATCTACTTTGCAAATGCGAACCTTGGAGCATCTCTCCTTAGATCCTTTACTAGCAGGTGAATAGGCCATGTAATCCGAGCTTGAAGTCTCCAGCAGAAATACATAAAAAGGCTAAAAATAAATATGCTAAAGGCTGAAAATGCCATCCTGTTGTTAACTGGATATTTCCTTTTAAAATTTATTTAAATCTTTTTTTTTTTTAAGTCGGAAAAGCATGGAGGAACTGGGTTAGTTAGTGTTATATAGTGTTAGTTTTACTAGCAATCTCCCAATGCACTTAGTGTCAGGTGAAGAAACCTCCCTTGGCACTTGTTCTCTGGATATCAGGTTGTAACAGAATTCTAATTCCCAGGCAGGGTTTTTGGCTTCCCAACTGAATAAAAATATGAATAGGTTTGCATTGCTCAGACGGCTGCTTTCTCTGGTTTGGAAGTCGCCTCTTCAAATATTTCAAAGATACTTGGCAGATGCCCAAGACAAGTGAATTTTGCTTCAGATGAATAGTAGATGACTCCCTCCCATCCCAAACTTTTGAAAGTTGCTGTCTGCAAATGAATCAACAACCTATGATCCAAATGAGCAACAACCTATCTCCAGAGCACGTGTTCTATCTCATACAATGAGACAAACAAAAAGAATCTTAAAGCAAAATCAACCAGAAATCTGTTTGCACACTCCTACAGCAGAAAAGGAGGTATTTAAAACTGCCTTTCTCCCAAATAGGAGCTGAGAACCATTCACTGCAGCACTGAGAGTAAGTACTGCATACGGCCCTGGCCAGAGCTCCAACTAGGTAGCAGAGAAGAGGATGGAGAGGTGTGGTTGGATTCAGGAAGAGCTCACTGTTTCATCCAAGACTAAAGCTCTGGTTCCATGGTTGCGGGCTCAGTGGGGCTGACTGTCAAATCGAACAGAATGTCCGTCAGCCCGGTTGTGAAGCTGCCCCCTACGTTTTGCAGAACTCCCTATGGCAGCTTCTAGATAAGAGGATCCTTCTTTGTTAGGTGTTAGCTGGGAGAAAACGTCCCTAGGAGAGGAAAAAGTGCCAACATACGAAGTGTGAAACTTCAGGGTTGTCTGTCGATAATGTGCCAGATGTGAGCAGGACAAAGTCCCATTATTCCCCTTCCCCAATATAAGTCTCTACATAGAGGCAGGTACTGTCCAGAGGAATCTACCAAATGTACCTTAGCCTACTGGGTTTTTAAGTTTGCAAGATTTTTCTAGGGAAAATACCTCTCTAAATTTCTACTGATATTTATGCATTCTTTGGCTATAGCCTCATGGCAAGATTTTCATTTGGGGTGGGATGGTGGTTGGGTAGGGGAGACAAGCTTCCATTCTTGCATAATGGAACTCACACCATTTCCACTTTCAAAGCCTGAGGCATTTTGCCTGCCCTCCCCCACCTTGTCCCTCCACCCCCAGCAACTTCCTCAAGGGAGAGCCAGCTGAAAAGCAGTGTAATCAGCTGGTGTGAGTTTTAATTCTGTAAACTGCCCAGCAGAGGAGACTCTAAATTACAGTTAGGTCTGTGATATACTGACTTTATATTCCTTGGCTATAAAACAGTACATAAACACATGAGAAGAGATGGAGATTAAACATAATATTTTTTCCAACATGTTATAACCAACTCCAGGCCAAGAAAGGAATTAGTTCAATTCTCTTTATTTTAAAATTAGCAAGAATTTGTTGAACTCCTAGAATTGTGCAGGGCACACTGGAGAATGCAAAAGCAATCAAATCATGGTTCTTTACCTCAAGAATTAGGCAAGATAGGCAAATGAAATTGGGAAAAGAGGAAGCATACCTAAAAATGAAAGAAAGATCAGAGTGGGGAAAAAAAAATCAGCCACTGAACTGAGGGGCTTAAAATTAGAACTAAATGAGAGAGAAGATTGTGATAGGTAAGGAATAGTGAGGGAGGGGTGTGAACTTGCATTATGGGTAAAAACTCAGATGGTACAAATACAAAGGTATGGCTCTGGGTCTGATTAGTTCAGGGCAGTAGTTGGAGGTGAGAGAGAGAACAAGTTTCGAAATTATGAATAAAGGGGAATAACATTGGGTTGGTAAGGGAGGACTACACCGAAACAGCAGTTCAACTCAGATATTTTTAAAAAGATAGATAGATAGATTTATGTATGTATGTATGTATGTAGTGTGAGCTTGGGGGAGGAGTAGAGGGAGAGGGAGAAAAATCCCCAAGCAGACACCCTGCTGAACTCAGAGTATGGGGAAGGGCAGAAGCTGGATCCCACTATCCCAGGACCCTGAGATCATGACCTGAGCCAAAATTAAGAGCCAGATGCTCAACCGACTGCGCCACCTGGGTGCCCCCGCAGTTCAACTCATATTAATCAGAAAGTCACTGGAAGTTTTGGGATAAGGACAGCATGCGCAAAGTGGATTTTTCTTAGGATAAATCTGCCCCTCATACTTTCTTAACTTGGTATCACTGAGAAATACCGACAAGATTTGGCGATGACTGGATACAGGAGATGATAAAGAAAACATGCCTATCACAAATGAATGAGTATATAGTATATGTGTGGATGAAAGATGGCACTATTGATAGAAATCAGGATTTTGGGATCTGAGTTGTTCAGGAATGAGAAGATTACAAGACTGTCTTGGGATATTTGGTATTAAAGTGATTTAATAGTGATTTAAAGACTTGTGGAAGTATAAGAAATGTCAGACCAAAGACTGAAAGACAGAGGTAAGTCATTACTGGATTTCAGAGATTTACATAGAGATGATGAGTACCAGATGAATTTAATACTAAGACTAGGCTATTTCATGAAGAACCCCCACATTAACTCTATTAAAAGTAATATTAGGGGCACCTGGGTGGCTTGGTCGTTAAGCGCCTGCCTTCAGCTCAGGTCGTGATTCCAGGGTCCTGGGATCGAGCCCCGCATCAGGCTCTCTGCTCGGCCAGGAGCCTGCTTCTCCCTCTCCCGCTCCCCCTGCTTGTGTTCCCTCTCTAGCTGTCTCTCTCTCTCTCTGTCAAATAAATAAAATAAAATCTTTAAAAAAAAAAGTAATATTATAAAGTATGTTAAGCCATTTAGGGGAAAATGTGCTCCTATCTGGTTTGTAATTTGGCAAAGACAAAAGGAACCACCACCTGAAGCCACCTAGACCCTCTGATTTGTATCAAGTATTTAAAAGGAAAGTGGTCAACAGCATCCCTAGAAGAATGACGTCAGCATATTAATATATAGATA